GTCAGGTTCATCATGAAGATGTATCTTCTGTCACTGTAGCTGTTCCAGTCTGCTTGTCCTTTCTAGTGGGAATGTCTCACCTCACAAGGTTGTGGGTGGGACTCAGGATTCCACCTAAGGCCCTATACTCTGTAAAGGATTTGCATGAGGACTATTTCACTGGGGAAATTGTAGAACCCCTTTTAGGTATTCCAATCTGAATCCCAAACTGAATATTTGAAGGCGGGCTTACAAGTTTTCTCCAATCATGTTTCCCAACATTCCTTTCTATCCCACTCAAGTGTCTATTTTACACTAGTAGGCAAGGGAAACTAATATTCACAAGGCAGTCAAGGATTTGGTATTTTTTATGCTTTCTGAATGCCTCCAGGTAGATGTGATCAGGAAATGGGTTTCCTTTTTCACTCTTCTTCCTTTTTCTCAGTGGTTCTGCCAGGCATCTGTGGCTGCTCCGCTCCTTCCCCCACGTGGTCTCACCCAAGATGGCCGCTCCTTGAGCAGCCGAGCGTCCCGGACTAGAAAGCAATAGATTTCTTGCTTCTGCCACAAATTCCCCCAGCTGTGAGTCTTCCAACCTTCTAAGTATTCCTTTATATGTGGTTCAAAGTTCTGGGACCAGTCCCTGAGCCTGCTTGGTCGGGTATTTTGTGTTGTTACTGCACGTCCACCTGATCCGCCATCTTGTTTGTTCTCCTCCACAACGCTTTTCATGGACTTTTTAAAATTTTTAACGAAAATCACAGCACAGCCCTATAGAAACTGAACTATGTGCATCATCTCATGTTGTTTTCTCCTTTATACCTGATATCCCTAAAATAGCTTGACTATGGAATAGCTAGCTTAACTATAAAACTTTTTCTTTATTACTGTTTATCTTGATTAAAAAAAATAGAGATAGTAGAATAAATGTAACCTCTGTGGCTATGTTGTTGTTGTTGTTATGTGCCGTGGAGTTTCTGACTCATAGCGACCCTATACAGGGTTTCCGAAGCTGTAAATCTTTACGGGAGCAGAAAGCCTCATTTTTCTCCTGCAGAACAGCTGGTAGTTTTGAACTGCTAACCTTGCAGTTCGCAGCCCAATTCGTAAACACTACACTACCAGAGCTCCTTTTGTGGCTATAACTGACCCTAAAATAAAGGTTATATAACTTCTAAAGAAAAATAAGGATGGCCAAGGGAGAGGAGCACAAGCAGGGTGTGGAACCCTATCCAGAGAAGCAGGGACATCGAAGATGGAGGCAGAGATGAGGACATGGAGAGAGGGAGCAGCTGAGGACTCAGGACTACACTCATGGAAAGAGAGGGACTGGGTACTGGTAGCCAGGAGGCAAGCTTACAGAACATGCTCTTTGGTTGCAATAGAATGAATATGTAATGCCGATGTTCTTCCATGTAAACTATCACTCAATTCATAATAAAAACTTAAAAAAAAAAAAAGATAATGGAATTGTTCCAAGGGGTTTATAAAGTTTCCTCAAATATACACACAAGGGGGTTTTTAAAAATTCATAGAAAAATTCCATTATCTTTTAATTCCATTTCCCCACAAATTTTCTGAAGTCTCCTTATACATATAACTGCTCCGCACTTAACTAATATGTTTAGGTTCCAAAGACCAGGTTGTTATGAGAAAATCAGCATTAGGTGAGAATGGACGATAACTACATCAGATCATAAAATGAAGGATAACAGCATCATCATCATGTTGTTGTTGTTAAGTGCTGTTGAGTTGGTTCCAACTCACAAGACCCTGTATAGGGTTTTCAAGACTTTAAATCTTTGTAGGAGCAGAAAGCCTCATCTTTCTCCTGCAGAACAGCTGGAGAACGTGAACCACCAACCTTTAGGTTCACAGTCCACTGGTTAATCTACTGAGCCACCACACTCCCATTGCAAACATAGAACACTTCTATAAATGGTGGGGTGGTGGTTATATGCTACTACGTCGGTTCCGGCGCATAGCAACTCAGTGTAAGGGTTTCCACGGTTGTAAATCTTTATGTGAGCTGAAAGCCCCTTCTGTCTCCTGTGGAGCAACCAACAGATTCAAACTACTGACCTTGCAGTTAGCAGAACAGCTATGGTACCAGAGCTCTTTATAAATAAATAAAGTCATTAAACAAAATCATTAACCCAAGTGGCCAATAAACATGAAAATATGCTCAATCTCACTGTATAATTAGGAAAATTCATATTAAGATTACAGTAAGAACACAATTTACATCTCTCAGTCTATCAAAGTTTAAAAGTCTGACAGAGAGGACATGGAACAATGGAAATGCAGTCTGGCTTGAGTAAATTTAGTGCAACCACTTAGTACAATTAAGTTGGCAGTTTCTAATGTATTAGTCAATCTCTGTGATAGCAATGCTGTATAAAAAAATCACCCAAGTAAGCAACGATTTCTTAAACAGGACACAAAATAAAAAACTCTAGGTTTTACAGGGGAAAAAAATTAAGATTCCTCTTTGGAATAAAAAAAAAAGTTGCCATAACTTTCAGAGCTGACCTCTCTGCCTTGAATTTAACTGGTCCAGCAGATCCCTTTGGAAGCCACTGTTTTATTTGGACATTGCTTTCTGTACCATATTGGTAAACACAGAACTTGTCTATGGGTATAATTTGCTCCATAAAATCCTCTTCATTAGCTACAATCTTGCTTAAGAAACTGATGGAAAGATCAACTGTTTGAGCTAGCTGATTTTCATGCAATGCCTTTGGCACTCATCAAGCCAAAACCTTGCTGAGGCCAGTGTGTTCACTTAAAAATTGAAAATGTTGAACAATGTCAGATCTCAACTTCAGTATATCATTGTTGTTGTTAAGTGCCGTCGAGTCAGTTCCGACCCATAGCGACCCTGTACAGGGTTTCTGAGGGTGTAAATCTTTACGAGTAGAAAGCCTCATCTTTCTCCCCTGGAACAGCTGGTAGTTTCGAACTGCTGACCTTAAGGTTCGCAGCCCGATTCGTAACCACTATGCTACCAGAGCTCCTTTCAGTATATCATTATATCAATGGTAATTATTATCAATGGTAATTCTACGATCATCCACTGGATTCTGGGCTTCAACCACTTTCTTCATTCATCAAAGATGACAGTCTTCCCACTCTTGGCTCATCTTTGAGGTCTTCCTTAAAACCCTTGAGGCATTCCAAACCTATTGTTTTCACGGGACAGCATTCCCATGAACTTGCTACAATGCTTCAAGGATTTATTGAGGTGTCACACCACTTGAACTTTGTTAAAAATTTGATATTAGCACTGACCTCAAAATCGTGTTTTTCCAAAGCACAAAAAGTTTCCTGCTTTTTTGATACTCACCCTAATAACAAGTGTATTACTGAGAGAGCTTGTCTCCAGCTATCTACTGACCAGAAAGACATGTTTATAAACACGCTTTGTTTGGAATAAACCCATGTATATATGAACTGGAACCTAGCAGCAATTATTTTTAACTTACCCTCACACATAATGTTGGAAAAGTTTAAAGCAGGCATACATTACTTTGTTTTCTTTCTACCAGAGCTTTTTAAGCATATATTACTTTCATAATTAACAAAATAATCAATAGCCATAAAAAAATTTTTTTTCTAGTCTCCTTTGATGTTCATACCTGCAACGCTTTCTCCTTCTCATTTGTCAGTTCCTGAGAATGCTTATTTGTCAATGCTGCTGTGTGTGATGTCCATTCATTCCGTAGTTTATCTAGTTCTTGGACTTTTTCTGATAATGTCTGTATTCGAAAGTTCAATAAAAAATATTTAGTTCTTGAATATACTGTACTTCTGATTAGAACATGGCAATATTTACAAGAACATCAAAGAAAACATACACAGCTGTTCAAGACATACTTAAAGCATTTTCCTTATATAGTTTTGCTTTTTGAGGAAATCAAGATTGGAATAAAAGCAATTTTAGAGCTAAAACGGCCTACAGGTCAAGCTTAACTACCTTTTAAGCTTTTATTAATTCAGTGTAGTTCTTCACCACCCAACCCCCTCCCTCCTCTGGCATTAATAAGAATAAAAAACACCTCATAACAAGGATGAACCTAGAGGACATTATGCTGAGTGAAATTAGTCAACCACAAACAAAAGAACAAATATTATATTAGATCACTTGTAAATGCTAAGAAAAGGTTTTCTTGCTACAAGAAACATTCTATGATGAGTACCAGAGGTTGGAGGTAAGAGAAAATTATTTGATGGGTAGAGGGTATACGCATATTATCTTGGTTGATGGAGAAGGTAATATACAACAAGAGGGAGGTTGGCGCAGGAAAGATGAAGGTAGTGACGACACAGGGAAGAGTGTAAGAGGTAAAGTGAATAGTGGTAAATGCAATCATTGTAATAAGTGTATGATTTGTTGAATGTGGGGCTGACTGATGATTTGTTCTGTAAACCTTCACTCAATTCACAATAAAAAGTCAAATAAGAAGAAAAACAACAAAGATCCTCAAGATGGATTGTGTTGTACAGGGGTATTTTCTGTCTAAAGCCATGCAGTATGTGAAATACTTTGTTCCTCCATTTCAAGGACTAATGACCAAAGAGTGTAGCTATGACTGAAAGGAAAATAAACCTAACAGAAAGAAGGGAAAGAAAGATTTATAAGACTAGAACTGAAAACACATTTTAGTCAAGAGGATTGAGATAAGTAAAAAGAGGAGAGAAAATTAACATATAACATACTTTTCATCCATTATTTTCACAAAAGCTTAGAGATTAGAAGAGAATGCATAATGTTTTAGAGAAAACAAAAATGATTGCACGCAATAAAACATTATAGAGAGAAAGCATACGATTAAATTGTTAAGGAAAGGCTAACATAAAGGAAAGGGAATTCAATTGTAGCATGCTTTGAAAACAATAAACCAACAAACCAAAGTTTAGATTTGATTCAAGAAGTAATTAAAAGGCCATACCTGGATGACTTACAAAGAAACAATGAACCTGAATTACCTTTTGTGTCAAGTCCAGCTGCCTAGTAACATCATCCAGTGATTGCATCAATGATAATTTTTCTTCCTATTTAGTAAAATTTAAATAATCAGAATTTGCATTTTAATAAGACCCCAGATAATTTGTATATGCATTAAAATTAGAGATGCCTGATCTAAGCACTTGAATCAAACGACTTTCTGAAACCCCTTAAAAAGCAATACAAAAAAAAAAAAAATACAAAGTTGCTTTCTTTGTACTTTTTGAGAACTTTAGTACGTGCTACCTCACTTAAAATGGAGTTAGAAAGAGCAGATATTTCTACACATATCTGTCAGTTGATAAAATCATGACAAAGAGTTTAATTGGCTCATAGTCACAAAAAATTAGTAGAAACCTTGGTGCTTAAGTTTTCCAACTCCTGCTCCAGTTTGATCCTCAACATTGTACCCTGACTAAACTAAAAATGATAAAATAAAACAAATGGACTAACACAGTACAAAATACCTATTGGAGGTCTTAAACATCTTTATTCATAAAATACAAATGAATGGAAATATGGCTCAGCGATTTATGAAAGATCTATAATTACTTTAATTAAGAGAATAACTTAAACCTAAATCTTACCTTGCTACATTTCAAACAGGCTGCTAGAAATTTCTTTATCTCCACATCATTTCCAGGTAAAAGTTTTAATGAAAGGTGAGTAAGATGCTTAAAAGGATTTGTCTCCACCACATTTAAAAATGCAGGTGAGCTATCCAAAATGGCTGTGGGAGAAACTAACTGCAGCAAAAACCTTTGAAAAGAAAGTGTCGCATTATAATGTATTTATAGGATCGTGGAACCTTGGTCTGGTGCTATAGAATAAGCACTGGATTGATAACAGCAAGGTCCACAGTTCTAATCCACCAGAGCTCTCAGAACAGGGCCTATACAGGACCACTATGTGTCAATTCAAATACAGCTTGATGGCATACAACATTTGTTGTTAAGTGCCGTCAAGTTGGTTCCGACTCACAAGAATCCTTGTATGGGGTTATCCAAGGAGTGGCTGTTGAGTTTGAAGCACCAATTTCGTGGTTCAAATTGAACTTGCAGTCCAGTTCATTATTCCATAGCACCACACCAGGAATCAAACATAACAACACCGGATAGTTAAACTTTCCCATTACATCAAGAGCGCCTCTACTTGTAAGGATCAAGAAAAGAAGTACACTGGAATCAGGAGCCAACATTAAAGGATTCTGAATGTAAAATATGGGATTGTCATTATGGTCGTGATGTGCCGTGGAGTTGGTTCCAACACATAGCAACCTTGTACAGGGTTTCCAAGGTTGTAAATCTTTATGAGAGTAGAAAGCCTCATCTTTCTCCCGTGGAACAGCTGGTAGTCTCGAACTGCTAACCCTAAAGTTCGCAGTCTGATAAGTAACCAATACACTACCAGAGCTCCTTAAAATATGGGATACACAGGGAAACAAACAAACAAAACAAAACAAGGACTTACTGAAAACTTTAAGTATATAACAGTTCATGAGTTAGTGAGATGGGGATAAGATTCTTATGATTCAATAGTGAGTAATTGTTTTCATGACTAATTGCAACTGTCACAATTGTAAAGGTAGAAGTTTTGTAACAAAAACGGGAGAGTAGTTAATCTTACAGACCAGAAACAGAGGACCTAGGACCATCAAGGGAGAAGAGCACAAGCGGAATGTGGGACCCTATCTAGAGAAGCAGTGACACCAGAGATGGAGGCAGAGATGAGGACATGGAGAGAGGGAGCAGCTGAGGACTCTAGACTCATGGAAAGAGAGAGACTGTGTGCTGGCAGCTAGGAGGCAGGCTTGCAGAATGTGCCCTTTGGTGGTTTAAATTATTATATATGCTTGAGTGTTTAAAAAAAAAAAAAAAAGAGCTAAAATGATTAGAGAGAAATACTGTTAACTGGTACATGGAGGGGATTATAATAATTGTAATGAAACAAAGTATATGATTTATTGAATGCAAAACTGATGATCTGCCCTGTAAACTCATTCAATTCACAATAAAAACTTTTTAAAAAAAGTTCATGAGAGATAAATGAGGGGAGAGAGAAAACCAAACTTTAAACCAAATGAAAAACTCACGGAAAACCACAGAAGTAGGATGTTAATGCCTTACTCTGAAAATTGACTATTTAAAATAAAGAATAAAGCATTTATTCTTTTCTGTATGAATTTTCACAGTAATCAAACATCCCTAATTAATGAGATAAAATTCTTCTTTATAAAAAAATTACAAGGGGGCTCCAAAAAGTTCATGGAAAATCAAAATGGAAAGATAGTGGAAAAAGGAGTGAAGGAAATCTAAAACTGAAAATAATGAGCAGAATGGAATGATGGACCAGGCCAACATCAGTCTCTATAACCCTGAGACCAAAAGATCTAGATGGTGCCCAGTTACCTTTACTAACTGCTCTGAAAGGAATTACATTAGAAGGTTATGGATAGAATAGGAGAAAAATATGGGACAAAACTCAAACAAAACCCCCCACCAGGTTTGCTGGTCAGATAGTGACTAGAAGAACCCCTGTAACTATGGCCCTTAGTCAACCTTCCCAGCAGCCTCTGAAACCCTGTGTGTCAGTTACTCTGACCTATATGGTCACTGCGAGTTGGAACTAACTCAAAGGCAATGGGTTAGTTCTGTTTAAATCATCATTCCTAAAAGTTGATATCCAAAGGAGCCCTAAAGCCTATTTTTTTAAAAAAAAGGATAGGATTTCAATAAATACAGGCTGTGAGTCTGCACTTGCCTTACTCACCTTACCATAGTCTTGACCCTGTCAGATCCCTTATTTAAAATTTTGGTATCTTGTTAATTAAATATTAATTAAACTTTCAAAAATATTGTATTAAAGCATTATTTTAAATAAAGAGGAGTGTTTATAATACATGGAGAAATTTTTCCTATCAGGTTGTCTTTCAAAGAAGAATTTATCTTAAAAAAACTTTAATAATGTTATGCTTTCCAGAGACTTACCTTGGAATTTCTTTGCCTTGTTCTTGAGTACACTGCTGAAGGAGATCTATAAATTTTTGTGGGAAAGCTAAGAAGTCTACCAGAAGACCTTGCTGGAATTTTAAACTAAACAAGAGACAGGAAAAGAAAATGTTTTTAAAAGGAAAAAAAAAAATTTGATTACTATATTTCATTAATGCCATGAATTATTTTTTATTTATGAATATCCATTACAGTAAAGAAATTAAGCTAGGAACTTTTACTTTGTAAAATTTAATGGAAGAAAAAACATCAAATTTAGCTAAAGTTCCCAAAATTTTTAGGTGTTTTAAACAGAACTCTGATAATTTATAATATACATCTTTTTAAAATATCCTGAATAATTATAGTATAAATAGTATGTTTTCAAAATGTCTAAATGATCCTAATCAGTCTGTTTTACAAGGAACAGTGTCAGTACATTCAGAAAACTGAGAAACCAATTTTTTCTTAGATTAAATATGAATTGAAGCAAGGAAGAAAAAAAGTTACCTCTGAAAATCTTCCTCAGATATAACGAGGTTATACAGAAAAAATGGATCAGTATCATCAGTCAGACGAATAAATAAATCCTAAAAGAAAGATTATTGTGTTTTAATGTGTTCATATCAGGCTTTTAGAGCAATTTCTTCCTTCTTGGAAGTGAAATCATGCAATTCACACCAATGTGTCACAGTTATATTTCAGATGGCATTTGTTTTCTGCTGCTACAATCTTTAGAGACTTAGAATCTTACATAAAGATAGACATTATATACTATTTGACAGCCACATGTGAGGAATAGGGGGAGGTCTGTAAAAATTAAAATACTAGGAATCCAAAGTATGGGAATATCACCCAATCAGAAGCTTGGTAAACCAGCCCTTGCTGCACTATGACACAATGACAAAAATATTCTTTACCACTGATTGAACCACATTTAATTTTATTTTCAGTTTTCCTCAAGTCAACTGGTCTGGCATTTCAAAAATGGCAAATACAATAGCAGATAATCATCCACTCTGGAAAAGAAAAGTAGCTTTTGTCTCTCAAGTGGAAAACAAGAGTATCAGGTAACGTTGTCAGGGCTTCCTCCTAAGGGCCAATTCTCTCCTAGTTCAGGAGGCCACTGACATGGAACCCCATGTTTTCCATTCAAATGGAGAGGGTACCTTCCATAAGGAAGACTTGCCAAGTAGCTAAATTTATAGTCTGGCAGATCATTACAGCAGCTAATGTTGACAGGAAAGCATACAGAAATTATCTATTTCAGAGACACACTGGTATAAGGAAAACAGGCAAACAAAAGATGATAGAAGGCTAATAAAGAAATAAGCATTAAGGCTAAGAACAAGTTTCATTTTGAAATTAAAATTTACTTGTGGCTACTGAAGAATGGATTGTTGTTAAATGTTGTCGAGAACAGAGCCCTAGAACAACTGGAAACATTTAAAACTAGAGCTCGGAAAGGAAGAAATAGAGCAGACATAGAAAGAACACATAACAAACATAAATATAATCCCTATTCTGGGAAATCAGCAACCTGGGCATTTACTCATTTGGTGTGCTTTTTTTTTTTTTAAAGCTTTTATTGTGAATTGAATGATAGTTTACATGGCAGAACATCAATTTTGCATTCATCCTATTATATTTTGCTTCATTGCAATAATTACAATCCCCTCCATACATCATCATTTAACAGTACTTGCTTCTATCCCGTTTTGGTTTTTGATGTACACAAAAACACTAAAAAATATATTATCATTTAAACAACTAGAGGGCACATTCTGCAAGCCTGTCTCCTAGTTGCCCCAGCACTCAGCTTATATTTAAGCATTGCATGAATCCACCCCAAGGTGCTATTAAAACAAAACAAAACAAAACTGAAGTTACTATTGAGAGGAGGTTAATATTACTAGGTCTTTGAATGTGTTTAGAGAAAGTTATGACGTTTGTGGAGGAGTCCTAGTAGTATTGTAGTTTAAGTGTTCCCGCTGCCAATCAAAAGGTCAAATAGAAAGATATGGCAGTCTGCTTCCGTAAATATTTACAGGTTTGGAAACCCTGTGGAGCAAGTTCTACTCTATCCTATAAGGTCATTATGAGTCAGATTAGATTTCAGGGCAGTGTTTCTTTTTCATTTTTGGTTTCTGACTCATCCCCCAAACCCAAGTACCAGACAAGGAAAAGAAAATGGAGAAAACTTTTATAAAGGGAATGGGATTAAGAAAGAAATTGATTAGAAAAGAATCAGAAGTGGATAGAAGAGGAATGATGCTTTGTTTGTATATCCTCTAATATTGTGTTGTTAAGTGTCGTCAAACCGGTTCAAACTCATAGCAACCCTATATAGGGTTTCTGAGGAATGACTGGTGGGTTTGAACCACCGACCTTTAGGTTCAAATCAATTTTGTGGTCCAATGTATTATCCTGCAGCACCACACCAGGACTCCTGTGTTGGTGGTGGTGGTTGTGTGCTGCAAAACTGGTTCCAATTAAAAGAGATGCTGTATAGGGTTTCTGAGGCTATAAATCTTTACAAGAGTAGAGAGCCTCATCTTTCTCCTACAGAGTGACTGGCAGATTCAGCTGTTGACCTTGCAGTTAGCAACCGAGCTTGTAATCCACTACGCTACCAGAGTTCCTTATCCTCTAATATTAACCTATTGTTCTTGTTATGGCTATGTGCCATGGAGTCGGTTCCGACTCACAGTACAGGGTTTCCAAGGCTGTAAATCTTTACGGGAGCAGAAAGCCTCATCTTTCTCCAGTGGAACAGCTGGTAGTTTCGAACTGCTGACCGTAAGATTAGCTGCCTGATTCCTAACCACTACGCTACCAGAGCTATTACTTCTAGATTAATGTTTTTCCTTCTTACATATTTGTGTTTTAATTTAAATTTTAAAATTAGAAATCAGTGAAAACATCACACCAAGGTATTTTAAATCCTAGTTCATGTAAAACACAGCAAGAATACAGAAAAGGCAAGCTTCTAATCCTGCCTCTCATCTTTCCTCTCAATCCCTAGATGAGTTGTGTTGACGCAGTACTTAAAGTGCTCAGCAGCTAACTGGAAGTTTGGCTGTCTGAACACACCAGCTATGAGTGAAACTGTGATAGTCTGCTTCTGTAAAGATTGACTTAGTGCTTTGGACACCCTTCTGGGCAAGTCTATGCTGTCTTACATGGTCACTACGAATCAGAATCAACTCTATCTCAATGGCAGTGGGTTTAATGTTTGAATTGGTACTAACCCTAAATCCTTAAGGAAGGTGAGGAAAATACTTTTTAGCAGCAAGAGGTTCAAATGTTACAATTACAGTAGATGGAGTGTGTGTGGGGGGGGCAAATATGGTGGTGTGCAGCTCAGAATGTTTGGTAGTTTACAGGCTGTATTTCTTGATCCTTTATTCTGTATCATTAGCTACGTTAATGACTCATACTTTCAAAATATAGGGCTGATGCTCCAATATGCAAACCTCTCTTGGAAAAGTACAGTAAAAGATTAAAAAACTAATAGAATCTCCCTTCAACACTTTAATTTATTCTGTTCATATATATGATAAAAAGCCAATTCCATAGGGTAGCAATATATATTCAAGCAACCTATAAGTACACTGCGCAAACTTAAGGCGCCTGGGCCCCTAAACCCTTAAGTTGTTTGTTCTAGTATATTCTACCACCTCAAATATGCAACAGTTACAAAATGGCCCCAAATCAAAACAATGTAAAAAAGATCCCACCCTTTTGTGACGCATGAAACATTTAGTGCCCACCTATATTTTCTGCTTCTAGAGTTTAGTAGGAAGTAACTACCCCACTTTTAGTGCATGCTTTCGTCTGGTGGGGCTTATAACTGTGTGAATCTAAAGAAATGGGCCTCATCCCACAAATCCCAGCACCACAGACCCTAAGACATTTGTATTTCACTATAAGAAACAAAGATTAAACCCACTACTATAGAGGTGATTCGGACTCATAAAGGTTTTCTGAAACTGCAAATCCTTACAGGAGCAGATAGCCTCATCTTTCTTTTACAGATGGTGGGTTCAAATCACCAACTTTGTGGCTAGCAGCCAATGCCTAACTCAAAGTACCACCAGTGTTCCTTGCACCCCACTAACTGTATCAGAATCTGCATTACCTCAAAAAAATGTTTCTTTTAAATTTCATTCAAAATGCCTCCCAGTAATGAAAACACATGGCTTTGACAACAAAAAATTTCAAAGTAGAAAATAATTCAGACTTGAAAGAGTTATAGAATAAATGGTCTATAATGTACAGAAATTATATTTCAAAAATAAATACAAACCTTTCTGTGAATTGGATTAGAAACTGATTGTAGCTCAATGCTCACTCTAACACTTACTCTCCTGTGTAAAAAAAATATCAAATTAGAAAAAATCAACATGAACTTATTTATCACTGACATTTGTTTTAGCCAAAGTTTGCAGTCTTAAACTACAAGATTGTTGTTGTTGTTATGTGCCGTGGAGTCGGTTCCGACTCATAGCAACCCTGCACAGGGTTTCCGAGGCTGTTAATCTTTACAGGAGCAGAACGCCTCATCTTTCTCCCGCGGAGCAGCTAGTAGTTTCGAACTGCTGACCTTGCGGTTCACAGCTCAATTCGTAAAACTACAAGATACTCCATAGGAATTCCATAATTTATTAATAGACGTTTAGAAAGAACACTGGATTTGAAATGTTAAATTCTTGTTCTTCAACTATGGTGAAGTGATATAAACAATGTAGAATACCTCTTACTAAATTGTAATATAACCTTACTGCCTTGATTCTACTAAAAGACAAAGAATCAATACATCGCTACATTAAAAAAATATATATTTCTATTTCAAATGATCAGATTGATATATGAGAAACTCCATTTTAAAAAACATAAAATGTTAATGTTAGAATTGCTTAGAAATTTAAGAATCAAGGATAACATTTTCCTTTCCTAGACTGAAAGGTCAGTTTGAACCATAATGTCAACAGTTCAAATCCACCAGCTGCTCCTCAGAAACTCTATACCGGGTTACTGTAAGTCAGAATTGACTCGAAGACACAACATGTTTGCATAGGAAGTTTTTCAGAACCACCAATGAAATCTACCTGATATACTCTCTATTTATGTAATTTATCCATTACAATTTTATTATCATTTATCATCACCTAACTCTAAGCCCTGAGACGGACCGTAGCTTTACACATCTTTACTGCATTACCTTAGAGAACCCAGAGTTACACAGAGGCATATAGATAAAGGTCTTCATAAACAATGAAATGAGAAGAAATGAAAATAAAGGGGAAAATCAGTGGGGAAAAAACCAAACTACCCCAAACAATGGTCTTTCCTGATACGCAGGGAAAGAAAATAAACTAATTAGAATGATTTGTTCATTTTTATGTTATTCTTTCAATATTTTCCACATTCTATTTTCCTTCTACAGAACAACAGAGCATGTTGAGTATGGATGGCTATATATATTTAATTTTATTCAAATATATGATATTCCTACTCTAATTCTACCAAAATTAAGCTTTCTGTGGGGGGGAAAAAATCCCTTGGTTTCCTAATTTGTAAGACAAATGGAATGAATTGGCTTGTTACTGTTTGGTTTTCATCCTCTGACATTTTTTTCCTAGTATGTATTGCCACAGTGGCATGACACTCCTTTGATACCTACTGTTTCATGCATTAGAAGTAAGAATGCCAAGACTTCATCTCTGAGAAGAATCTTTGCAGAGGCTGTCAGAAAGGACCAGCCCCTGAAGGACACAATGGAGGAAGGACCCCCACAATGAGATGAACTGACAGTGGCAGAAATACTCATCTCAAACATAATGTGAGGATGGTACTGGAGTAGACAGTATTTCATTCTCTTGTGCATGGGATCATTAGGAGTTGGAACCAGTTCAATGGCACCTAGCAACAACAGTTTTTAAAGTCCTCTCATGCTTCATAAATTTGTAAACATTTAAGAAATATCTACTTAATAAAGTGTTCTTTGCATAATCCTAGAAGAATGATGTTAATCATATCAGTGACATGGCTGCGTATACTCCAAATGACTACATGCATTAGATGTTGGAAGAGTAACGAAGAAAAGCCCACAAATTAAACCTATTCCTTGTGCTTGTTTTGAATCTCATAAAGAAGTATCTTTTAGAAAAATCTGAGATTCGCAAATACTGTGTTTCCGTGTGTGTGTTTGCTTTTTGGGTTTCTTTTTACTACATATTACAGGTCTGTGGCAACCCTGTGTTACGAAGTTTATGGGCACCATTTTTCCAATAGCATGTACTTACTTCATGTCTGTGTCACATGTTGATAGTCCACACGATATTTCAAATGTTTCCACAATACTATTGCACTTAATACAGGAGTACAGTGGTTCTGTCATATAACCACTGGACTGTGAACCACAAGGTCAGTGTTTCGAGCCCACTAGCCACTCCTCAGGAGAAAAGATGAGGTTTTCTGTTCCTGTTAAGATTTACAGCCTTGGAAATCCTACACAGTGTTGCTATGAGTTGGAACCAACTCCACAACACTTACCAATGACAACAACATTGAATTTAAAAGATTACACTGTTGTTGTTATTAAGTACCGCCCAGTCGGTTCCCACTCATGGCAACCCTGTATAGGGTGTCCAAGGAACAGTTGGTGAATTTCAACCATCAGTCCTGTGGTTCAAATTGAACTTGCAGTACACTGCATATTCACATTTTTGCAAAATGTGCTTTATTCTGGTGGTCTGGAACCAAAACCACAATATTTCTAAAGTATGCCTATAATATCTAAAAATCAGAAATTCCATATATTTTTCACAAGGCTAGTATCATAGAAACAATATAGTACACTCCATTAGTAAAACATACTATTTCTTAAAATAAATGCCACATTCTGAACAATGTATAAATCTACATAACATCTTCTGACAGTTATATTTGGCTAGGCATCCTCTTCAATAAAAAAATCATAAACATCATATATTTGGCAGATCTGGAGTCTAGCCCACTTCTGCCACCTAGTAGCTGTAACCTTAAACTTTCAATGCAAACAAATAAAAACTATTATAAGTCAGATATTATGCTGGGTGCTAAAGATTTAAACAAACATGGTCCATGTCTTCAAATTGATATCAGACTAAATGACACTTCCCCAGATACGCCTCTGATTGCATCTTAGGTCTTCAGAGAGTGAAGAGACGAGTTATTAACACTCCTGAATATCTTTAATATATCTAATTTAACAATTAAATTAATTTTAAGTAAATATTGTCTGTTTTACTGAGGAAGAATCTAAGACTTACAAATCTAAGACATACAAAACTACAGACTTGTTTCAGCTCACACTGTGAAGCTCAAATTTGAAGTGAAGTCTTTTGCTTATACCATGCTTAATAAATTAGTAAGAGCAATAAATGTCAATTTTGGCAACTTTAAAATGGTCATTATAGTGAAAAGATTTATAACAGTCCTTAGAAAAAAAAATTTTGAGGCTGAGGGAACAATCAATTATAGGTATGGTAGAGAGAGAGTTGAGTGGTACAGTGCTGTAGGACAAGCACTGGACAGTACCAACAATCAGCAGTTCAAACCCACCAGTCACTCCTTAGAAAACCTATACAGGGTCACTATTAGTCAGAACTGAGCAACAATAGAGAGTGCTGGGTACATTCAGAAGATAACAAGTAGTCTTGTGTGAGAAGTATATTGTGGAAAGACGCTTAGGAAACAAAAGTGAAAGGATAGATTAGTGACAAACCATGAGTTTCAATATTTTGCAAAATCTCTCTCTGGTTAAGAGTTCCCTGATCATTACTTCTGTCACATACTGAATGTCCTTCTTCACTATGACTTTAATATCTTTATATTATATTAACGCACTAATCACATTTTATTAATAGCTAATGTTTAGTGGTTCTGAATGTTAAGTGTCACTGAGTCAGTTTTGACTACTAGGGTCCTCAGAAACCATATACAGGGTCTCTATGAGTCGGAATCGACTCGACAATACTTAACAATGGGTTTCCAAGGAGTGGCTAGTGAGTTTGAATTGCCAACCTTGTGGTTAGCAGTCCAGTGCTTATACTGCAGTGCCACACCAGGACCCAACTGTTTTGTTGTTGTTAGGTACCATATAGTCAGTAACGGCTCATAGTGACCCTGTGCACAACAGAACGAAACATATTGCCTGGTCCTTAACCTCACTCACAATCCTTGCTACTCCTGAGTCCATTACTGCTGTCACTGTGCCAATCAGTCTAATTGGGGGGTCTTTCTCTTTTTTTCTAACCCTCTACTTTATCAAATATGATATCCTTCTTGAGAGACTGATCACTCTGACAACATGTCCAAATTATGAGAGATGAAGTCTGGCCATCCTGGCTTCCAAGGGAACCTTCTCGCTGTACTTCTTCCAACACAAAATGGTTTGTTTGACAGTCCATGCATGGTACTTTTAATATTCTGCTCTAATATAACAGCCCCAATGTATCAATTCTTCTATGGCCTGCCTTATTCATTGCCTAACTTTTGCATGCATATGAGGTTATTGAAAATTCCATGGCTTGGGTCAGTAGCACCTTAGTCCTCAAACAGACATCTTTGCTGTTGAACACTTTAAAGAGGTCTTGTGAAGCAGATTTGCCTAATGCAATACATCATTTGATTTTTTGACTGCTGCTTCCGTGAGTATTGATGGTTGATCCAAGCAAAATGAAGTCTTTGACAACTTCAATCTTTTCTCCACTTATCATGATGTTATTTATTAGTCCACTGGTATCCTTTGTTCTGTTCAAACAACTGCCTCTTGATCTATGTACAGGTTTTTCATGAGTAAAATTTAGTGTTCCGGAATATTCATTCTCTGCAATGCTGTCCATAGCTTGTCATGATCCACACAATCAAAAACATTTGCATAGTCATAAAGCACAGGTAAGTATCTTTGTGGTATTCTCTGGGTTCAGCCAAGATCCATCTGATGTCAGCAATGATACCCTCGTTCCACATCCTCTTCTGAATCCAGCTTGAACCTCTGGCAGGTCTCTGTATGGTTGCAACCATATCTTACCAGTTATTGACATTTTTTTATATTAATAGTGCTAAAATGACATTATTTTGGATATACTGGGTTAAATAATTTTATTAAACTTTTTTTTACCTTAAGTTTTTAAAATTTGGCTGTTAGATGATAAAAATTTTTGGATTATCTTTAGTAAAACTTTATTCTCATGGGATATCAATGATATTGTCTGATTTCTGCATTTCATTGGGTCACTTCTCTTTGGAATGGGCACAAATATGATTTCTAGTCAGTTGGCTAGGTAGTTGGCTACTGTTTTTAAGTATTTTAAATGTATTTACTCATTGTGGCGCTGTAGAATCAGCACTGGACTGGGAACCATATGGTCAGCAGTTCAAACCCACGAGCTACTCCTCCGAAATTCTCTACGGAATCGTTAGGAGTCAGAATCGATTTGACAGCACTTAACATGTTCACAATAAACCCATGAGGTAGTTACTATTATCAATGTAAACATGAGCACAGAGAAGTAACTTATACAAAATCAAACAGACAAAATAAGACAGAACTACTCCATAGAAGGAGTCCTGGTGTGGTGCTGTGGGTTAATGCACCAGACTGCAAAGCCATTTGAAATGCAAGGCTGGGAGTTCAAGCTCACCAGCTGCTCCTCAGAAACCCTATACAGGGTCGCTATGGGTCAGAACTGACTCAACGTAACTTAACAACAACTCTGTAGGATTTCCAAAGCTGCAAATCTTTAAAATAGAAGCAGATTATCACATCTTTCTTCCTTTGTAAAGGGCCAACAATAAATATTTCAGACTTTGCAGATCATAAGGTCTCTGTCACACTAACAAAAAACCCACAAGAGACAGTGGGCCATTTAGCCCATGGGATGTAGTTTGGTTACACCTAGAGATGCTAGTGGACTCCTGGTATGGCGCTCTAGGATGCAAACCACAAAGTCAGTGGTTCAAACTCACCAACTCCTCAGACTCTGTTTAGGGTCACTATGAGTCAAAGTCAACTCAATGGCACTTAAAACACAACATAAATGACAGTTATATGAAAGGTTTCTAAACATAAGGAGCAAAAAGGTCAACATAAGTGTTTTAAGAATATATTGCAATGACAACATGAGATGGAGAACAGCTAGAAGTTTAACAATGGAATCAGAAGTGGTACCCGCCCCTTTCTTCTATCTTCCTATAATCATTCTAGAACAATACTATCCAATAGATATAACAAAAGTCACAAACACATGTAATTTTACATTTTCTAGAAGCCAAATTTAAAAAGAAATTGAAGGTAGAATGACTTTAATAACAAAATAATTTAACCCAATATATCCACAATAATGTCATTCTAACACTATATAAAAATTACCAATAACCAATAAGATATTTTACTTTCATTTTCATAGTAAATCTTCAAAATCTGGAGTGCTGTACAGTAGGTTCCGACTCACAGCAATACTGTATAGGGTTTCCGAGGAGTGGCTAATGGGTTTGTACCGCCAACTTTTCAGTTCAAATTGACCTTGCGGTCCAGTGCTTATCCTACAGCATCATAATACTGGACAGCACAGAAAACTTAAACTATCTATATATTGCCATACATAACTGTTGCTTTTGATACTATTCCTTTGCCTGGCTTGTCAACTGATTTGAACCTAATTCTAAACCACATTAACAACAACTCAGTGTTTTCATTTTTAATGTTTCAACTAATGTGAGGTAAGCATGCTATTATATCTGTTTTACCATGAAAAACTTAAGGTTCAGAGAAGCTAAGAGACAGCTAATATGTGCCAGAACTGTAACAAAAATGTAAATCCCTAACTTCTAGTCAAACCTATTTTAAATCCAATAGCATCACCTCTTTAGTCAAAGTTCCAATTTTGTATTTATCTGTGAGACTAGTCTGTATCTCCTTCCCCACAGCAGTGTAAACTCCAGAAAGATAAAGACTGTTTTTCCAGGTCATAACCTTAAAAGCCCAGCAAAGTGTTTTACAAGTACGCAGTATTTTTTCATGAATGAAGTGTCTGGTATTCCTTTATTGTTTATGGTCTGTTAAACATTAATTTTCTCTTCTTTCTTTCTTCTAAAACTAAAATAAGTAATGTTTAGAAAATACAAGATACACCATTAAACTGGTTTTTTTTTTTTTTTTTTAAATTCGTTAAATTTACTTCCAATATAATCCAAAGAAGAGCGATAAAAAGTCTGGAAGCCGAGGCCTGAGTTCTAGTGCTGGCCCTGTTCTGAAACCACAGGCATAAATGATTTAACCTTTGTGTCAGGTTCTTATCTGTCAAATGGGGGGAAAACCACTAAACCCACTGCCACTGAGTCAACTTCGACTCATAGCAACCCTATAGAACCAAACCTAACTTCTCCATAGAACTCT